TCTCAAATTTAAAAACCAACCACTGCACACCTATCTGAATGGCTAAAATCCCAGACACTGACAACAGAAAACGCTGGTGAGGACGTGGGGCAGCAAGAAGTCCCATTCATTGTTGAGGGGAATACAAAATGACGTAGCCACTCTGGAAGGCAGTCTGGCAGTTTCTTACGAGCTCAGCGTGGCCACACCACGTGACTCGGAAAGAAACCACACTCTGGTATCGACGCCAATGAACTAAAATCATGTGTTCACCACAAACAGGGACACGCACGTGGACAGCAGCTCCACTGACGATTACCAAACACTGGAAGCGACCAGATTTTCTTCGTGAGGTGAACGTGCAAACAAACTGGGGCATCCGTACAGTGGAGCAGTGTTCAGCCACGAAAATAATACAAGCTGTCAAACCACTAAAAGACACGGAGGAATCTCTTTTGAAATCCATGGAGGAATCATAAACGCACGTTGCTGAGTGAAAAGAAGCCAGTCTGAAAAGGTTACACGCTAGATGATCCGACTATATGATGTTCCGGAAAAGAGTACAAGGGTCTGGGAGGAGGGGGTGCCTCGGCGGGGCTCAGGGCACTGTTAGCACAGTGCAGTGTTGTACACGACACTGTAATGAGGACACACGATGCCACTCATCAGAACTCCCCAGACTGTACAACACAAAGCCAAAGCCATGGACTGCAGTTAGTAACAATGTATCAAGGCTGATTCACCAACCATAACCAATGGAACCCAAGAGTTAATAACAGGAGAAACGTACAAGAGGGCTCCCTGGGACTATCTGCATATTCTGCACAATTTCTCTGCCAGCCAAAACCCGCTCTGAAAAATACACATTTAAAAATAAGTGAATCTATAATAACTTGACTTTATTTTCAGGCCTGAGATTTTTTTTTAATTTTTAATAAATATTTATTGTTTTTTGTTTACGTATCATAGAAGAAATGCATGTTTTTTAGCAAACATTTGGAAAACAAAGAAAAAAACAAAACTTACCAACAATCCTACCAATGAGAACCACTATTAAAACTCTGCATTTCCTTAGGTTTTTTCTATGCGTGTGTATGTAATTATTTCTTAGATAATTGTGATAATATTACTTAGAGATTTTACTTTTTCAAACTTAAACATATAGAAAACTATACTTTCCCATCAGATGGAAATAAAACAATTACTCATTCTTCCTTTTTTTCTTTTTTGTACTATTATAAATAAAGCCTATACATAAACCCTTTTTTTTTTAATTTTTGTTGTGATTTGGGTGAAAGTTTAAAGAATTCATTTCCCACATAGCAGTTCATACACGTTTTGTCTCATGACGCTGACTGCAGTTCCCCACAATGCAACAGCTCTCTTCACTTCCTCCCGTAATTACCTCCTCCCCGTGTCCTTCCCCCCCATGCACTCCTGTCCCGAGGTGTCTCCCTGTGCAAATACTGCCCTTCGTTCTTCCATGATTGATCATTCCAAGCAGTGTATCTATCTGATGTAAGTGTTCATCCCATGTGCCTGTCTAGTGTTTGGCTGGAAGCCACGGGAGTGAGTTCACTTCCAGACCTGAGAGTAACGGGGCCCACGGTCTCGGGAGTTTCACGAGGCTGTATCAGACCAGCAAACCTGTTTTTTGCTTTTTTTTTTTTTAATGATTTTGAGCTTTGTCCCACATAGTTCTCCCACTCTATCCAGCATCTCCTGCACTGATTGATCCCCCTCTGAGTGGTTGACAGTGGTAGCCAGGCACCACCTAGTTCTTCTGGTCTCACAGTTGTTTAGTCTGAGCATCACATGGAATACCAGTCCCTTAGGATAACTATTTCCATGCATCTTTGGTTTTTTCATTCCTCTTTGGTCTGGACGAGGAGAGACCCGTTGTTGCATCTAGATGGCCACTTGCTAGCTTTTAAGACCCCAGTTGCTACTCACCAAAGCGAGGATGCAAAACAATGTTTGTGTGTAGTATGTTATGCCAATTGAGCTAGATGTCCCCTGTGACCATGGTCCTGAGCTAACAGGTCAATTACTTACTCCCTTAGGGTGGTTGGCTGTGGCCAAGAAGTTACCCTAGCTTGATCCCTTGTTAGCTCTATTATATATTTGGACATTCTTACAGCATGTACAAATACGTAAGTAGAAATATCGTCTGCCAACTTTCTACATGGTCATGGTATATTCCCTTTTGCCTAGACATACCTGATCATTCAGCCCACAGGTTAATGTTTGCTATCACTGATAATGCTGTACTGTATATGTAAAAGTGTTTATGTCTGGTGTCTGTTCCTCCTGTGCACTGCTGTATCTTCCTCTTCCTCAGTGCCACCATCCTACACATAAATCTTTTCATCTCTAGTCATTTTCTTTGCATACTTCTTAGCAGTGAAGTTACCGAGTTGGAAAGGTTGTACCAGTTTACACATCCTTGTAGTCTATGTATCGAGCTCTGGTGGTGTAGTGGTTAAGGTATCTGGCCACTAACCAAAGGTCTGTGGTTCAAATCCACCAGCTGCTCCATGGAAGAAAGATAAGGCAGCCCGTTTCCACACAGATCAACAGCCTTGGAAACCCAATGGTGTCACTGTGAGTCAGAATCGACTTGGCGGTGAGTGAGCAAGCCGTCCATGGAACGAGCGGTCCGCGGGAACGAGCCGTCCATGGAACAAGCCATCCACCAGAGTGCCTCATCTCATCAACCCCTTCAGCAGCTAAGACCCTTCGATTCATCCCTCGATCGCAGCCTGTAACACTGTCACTGATGACACAGGGGGTGGGCAGAGCAGACATGAAAACTGGCAACGACAGAAAGTTCTAGAACTCAGTGGTAGTGAGCCTGTGTGGTGTGGCAACAGTGTGAGAGGACACCTCCCATCGTGTCCTCGCTGAGCACTGAACTTTGCGTCCCTCTGGAACTTCAGGTGTGTTTAAGGAGGCTCCTTCTCCTGGGCCGCCTTCTGTGCTCGGCCTCGTGGCTAAGGTGGATGCTCACACCCTAACTCTGTTCCGAGGGAGATTTCTATCAAACGGACAGAGCAGATGACTAGGCCTCAGAGAATCGCCATCAATAGAGGAGCAAAACCGGCCCCCAACAGGAAGAGGCCAGCTTGCATGTGATACTCACAGAAGGAAAGGTGGTGTGCTGAGGTTCGAGAACGCACAAAGCAGCAAGCAGCTCTCGTCAGCTGCCTCCAACCTTGTGAGGAAACATCTAACTAAGCATCTTCTCTGACCCACAAGAAAATATACTCCCTCTCTTCCATGTGAGTATAAAACTCAGTCTGCCCAAAGTCCTGGGAGGGAAGGAACGAGACGCTGTGGAGATAATGGTAACGGTGACTCGTGGGCTCCAACCGTGCTCCAGGTGAGTGCTCAGTGCTTCACCTGTTTTGTATCAAATTTCCTCAAAACGACACTGTCTCATCTTACACATGATGTAAGTGAGGCTTACGGAAGTTAAGCATCTTGCTGAAGAGTACACAGACAGAGTGGTGACGGTGGGACGGAGAGCTGATGTGTCCGTCGGCCACCACAGCCCGTGGCCTCACTACTCTGTGCCGTGGCCTCACTACTCTGTGCCGTCGCCTCACGTCTAAGAACTCGATGCAGAACTGCCAGAGCTGCCACGGAAGTGCTACTCGGTCTCCAGGAGAACGCAAGGGTGCTCTCAGATCCCTCCTTTTTTATTCTAAGGACACAGAATACTGGAAAACTCTCAAAATAACCTGAGCTGTAGGGTACCGTTTCTAACTTCAGTCACTTTTAAATACATCTACTGACCTCCCTTCAGTTCCCACCTTCTTCCAGGAAACGCAGAGCAAACAACACACCTCCCTCTTTCCCACCTCCGCAAGAATTCCTTAAGGCCCTTGATTAGCATTATCTTCTCATATAATTTAGTGCCGTTCCCTAAATATTTTCTTAGACTTTCTATTGCTCCTTTAGTGACAGGGATTTGCACCAAGTCCCTCAATCTGCTTTCCCCTCAGTTTCCTCATCTGAAAACTGGAAACAATGAAGAGAACTACCTCTTAGGATGCTGTGAAGAGTAAATAAAAAATTACATCTCAGCTCTGAGAATATCAGAGCCGATAGCCATGGTCTTTATCTTCACTTGTATTACGACAACCACTACTGTCGCCATCACCACCACCACCTGCAGTCGATTGACGTCTGATTTAGACCAACTACAGCAAGATACAGAAGCACGTGACACATGTGCACACATGCACGCACGCATAGGCATACATGCACACACGTACCTATGCACACATGCACACACAAACACGCATGCACAAGTGCACACACGCACACAACCCAGATTAAAATGTGAACAAGAGCAGAGTCAGAGTCAGTCCCTTCGTGCCTCCCCCTGGCGTTTTGAGGGAAACAATGCAGGGCTCACAGGAAAGGACCCGTGAGTTTCGGACAAGTTAACCCCAGGAGACAGGGCAAGTTCTCACGCTCAGTTAATCCTTCATCCAACGTAACTGAGGGTCACCATGCACCGCACAGCACGTCAGATGCTGGGAATAAATAATGGAAGGATGTCTATGCCCCTAAAACGTCACGTTCCATCAGTGACTGATAGAGACTACAGCGTGTGACGGTTCACAGGAGGAGCTATGCACACACCGCCATGGACGCTGAGAGGAGAGACCCCCAACCTAGCCCCGGGGAGGAGGGAACAGCAGGACACCTGCCAAAGGCAGTGACCCTGAAAGCGAGCCTCAGGGACAGGCCCAGGTAACTGCGGAGGGAATGGGTGGAAGCGAACGCATGAAGCGAAAGGAAGGGCCCCGTCACCGTCCTCCCCCACGACAGCCAGCACACGTCCTCCCAGCGCTAACAGGGCGGCCACTGAGGGGCCTGGACGGGGCAGCCCCTGGACAGCCTTTGCCTTCCATGCCCCCCACCCCCACCCCGCCCAGCGAAACGTCAAACAAGAGTGGCGCGCTGGCACGGGAGGCAGACACAGGTTCCGGGGCGCAGCGCTCACTTACAACACTGGGCGGCAGCAGCGGACAACGGCTTGCTCAGGCTCTCGTCCGGACCAGAATACTGGAAGCAGAAAGGGAAAACACACACACGGTAAACAGTTAGCGGCCCTCGTAAAGAAGAGAAAAAGCACAGCCACCCCGGGAAGCTTCAGTGTCTGCCGTCCCAGCTGTTTGCCCTGTGGGATCCTGACACCAGGCACCTCCCCCCCGCCAGGCAACCAGCAGGCCGGGCCTCAGAAGCCTTAGGGTACTCCCTCCCTGCACAGTCCTCCTAGCTTCCTGTGGCTGCTGCAGAATGGCCCAGTGACTTGCAAATAGGACATGTGGGGACCTAATCCTATCAGCTGTGGGACCCTAGGCAAGTCGATGCCTCCAACACTGCCAACAAACGGCAAAACGGAGGGAAACGGAGGGAACATGTGTGCTCAGTACCTCCTGTGCTCCAGGCCTCGCCCCAGCCTCTGGGGGAACAGTGTGTGAGTCAGGACCGGAGTTCGGGTTTTACTCTAGAGGGTCAGGAAGTCTTTCAGGACTTTAAACCGGAAAGGGCTATGATTTGGTTCATGCTTTTAAAAGGTGACTCTACTGCTGTGTGAGAGGAGATTAGGGAACAGGAGAAGAAATGAAGTCCTTATCACAATGATCCAGGCAAAGCTGATGGTGGCTAATGATAAGGAGGGAAAGGCACTCCTGTGGCTGGACGCAAACCACCACACCTGTTTACAGATAAAAACACTTTCACAGGCAAAGTGTTTTATAAGGAAAAAATGGTGGTGGTGGTGGTAGTGGTTGTTTGTTGTGTGCCATCAAGTCCAGTAGGACCCGACTCATAGCGACCCCTCACTGGGTTTCCAAGGCAGTATCACTACGGAAATAACTTGTCCAACCCTCCTTCCAAGGGGTGGCTGGTGGGTAGATACTCCCATTCCCATTTCTAAGGGGGAATAATGACAAGCTGAGCACAATTTAAACAACATGATAACATTACAAAGCTGCCCACCACCACACGTTCAAAGCTTCTTGGAGGGAACACGAGAAGTAAATAAAATTACGTATTTAAGCCATGCAGTCTTTCGTATCTAGTCCTGCACGGTAACAACGCAAGCGCAATGCACTGCCGTCAAGTCAAACCCGACTCATAGCAACCCCTCCTTGGGTTTCTGAGGCAATATCACTACGGAAGTAGACTGCCCAAAGTAGACTGCCCACCCTTCCTTCCAGGAGTGGCTGGTGGGTTTGAACTGCCAGCCTTCTGGTTAGCAATCACATACCTTGGGCACTGTGCTACCAGAGCTCCTCTCGTGTATGGTGGGGGTGGCAAAACAACGGACTGATTCTGGGATCTTCTAATTCAGTAACCCCCTAGTTCTTTAAGAACTAGGATTCTCGGTACAGAAAAAAAGACCAGATGTAAGACAGAAATGGTTAAATAAAACCTGTAGGCCTGAATTTGAACAGAAAATACACATGTGAACGTGTGAGCTATTTTATCATATGGAGACACTTTGCTCTCCTCCCTAGTCTGTTCTGCAGTACAGTGTACCCCTCGCATCCAAGCTGTGGGTCTGAAATATCACTTTCCACTAAAAGAAAGCCTGTGCTTCTTGGAGAATGGGGCAGGCCATGTTCAACATGAGGCTAGAATGTCTTGTCATATCAGAAAGTAAGGAAGAGACCAAAGACAGAAAGAGATTACCAGGCTTAAAAAGATTTCAGAAAGAAACATACTAAACTGCAGTTTTAGGGACAGTCACCTAGGGGCTCAAACCATAGAAATGCAAGGAAATGATGACTACAGACTTCAGGACAGTGGTGATTTCAGGGAGGAGGAAGGTGTGCCTTGGGATGCAGCACGTGGAGGGCTCTGTGGGTGGCTGGCAAGTCCTCTATCTTGACCGGGTGGTGGTTATAAAGGTGCTCGTCTTGTAATAATTCACAGAGCTAAAAGTATGTTTTCTGTAGATGCATAATAAAAGTGTTCTTTTTAAGCACATAACCAACAAACAGAAGTCAAAGAAAAGTAGGAAAATAATTAAAATAAAAAGTGGAAAGAACTGCTCCTGAGGAACGGGCCCCTGGGGAGAGAACGGCACGGTAGTGCTGACACTTTACGGCAGCAGAGGCCCACAGCAGTCCAGACGCAGCGCTCCTGGTCCACCAGGCTGCTGTGCAAGGACCGTCAGACAACGCAGAATAAACCAGGAAGATTCTACAGCATGTTTTCAAACTACCTTGCAGCACGTATAGTAAAATCTTGATAATTACGAATTTTGGAGATGGGTGTTGTGGTGGTTAAGGTTGGGCGTCAGTTTGGCCGGGCCTGGGTTTGAGTGGCTGGGCAGGTGGATGTAGTGTTCCCCATGATGAGACTGGTCATCAACTCCATGGTAGAATCTACTGGAGCACCTGAGTAGCTGCCTTAGGGCTGTGGTCTGCTTCTGTGTATAAGGAGAAGCACGGAGAAAGGTGTGCAGCTTTCTGGCCCACGCAGACCCTGCACTTGGCTAAGTCTTTATTCCGGTGGCCTGCCGTGTTGTCTGCCGACCTTGGGACTATTAACGGACTTGAATCAGTGGCCTGTTGGGTGGTTTGGTGACATCGGAGCTGTGCCTTTTCACTCGTCGACCAACAGTTTCTCAGCCTCAGCAGCCAGCAGCTGCCTGAGTGAAGAAAGCCTCCAGCTCCAGTGGGCCGGGAGCAGGAGGCAGAGCTGAAGCCCAAGGTCGAGGGGCTTTCACCCAGCCCCTAGAGCTGGCACTTTGCACTCAGACTCCTAGCCTCCTGACCTGTCTCATCTGTGGTATTTTCTGTTGTTGTGTGCAGGTTTCATGCATTATCAGTAGGCCTGTTTGCCAACAGCCATCATGTCTACCAGTGACCAGCCCTGTCATCCTTCCCTCCAGCACTGCCAACAAAAACAAGGGTGACCCGCCTCTCCTCCACACTCCTGATGCCCAGGCTGGGTTGGGTACCTTCTCTTTTCTGCACCATACCCTTCTCTGGTGGGTGACAAGTTAGGACAGCAGTGGCAAGGACTGTGAAGATCTAAACAGTGTGAAAAAGAGCACACAAATAAGGAGGTACCTGTAACCTCTGGGAGGTGGCAGAAGATACGCCTTCTGCTTATTCGTGAAACAAAAAATGACAGGTTCCCTGGTACAAGTACCCTTCCCTGCAGACTAGAGCCACAGTCTATACTGTCAGTTCCATTACTGCTGGGGACAGTGGGAGGAACAGGAACAGTGGGAGACAGTCCCTCTAATTAATTTTCGGGCAACATTCTAGCTGCCCTACCTTCTAGCTGCACCTTTTCTTTAATGGAGTTTAAATGCTTTCACTCTTCCCGTGGCCAAGACGCCCCTGGGCCTCCGATCCCTCCCTGGACAAGGCACAGGTGCACCAGAGCTTCCCCCCACCTCTTTCTACTGCAAGGAAGGCAGTTTCTACCTCGCTGCCAGTCCCCAAGGCACTGATTTGCTCCAATTTGTAGGTCCAGTATCGGGCTTCCTCTCCTGGGATATCTACAACAAAAAGAAGAAAGAAACCACACAGCAGTAAGAGCTTAGTCATCAGCAGACAACAGCGTATTCAGTCAAATCGTCAGAGGTAAGCAGGTGGCTGATTTTACCAGTGCTCTGGTTCCTGCCACCACATTTTCTGTAGTCTGCACTAAAACCAGAACTACGATTCCCACGATTCCCACTGTGCTCTTTTGCAAATGAGGAAACAGAAGCTCAGAGAGATTAAATAATCTGGCCAAAGCCACTCACCCCTAAGTAGATAAGCCAGACCCAAAGCACAGCCAGTGTGATTCAAAAACTGCACTACTTCCGTGCAACCGCGGTCCTTCCCGTCAGCAAGGCTACAACAGCCCAAAGGGCTAGCCTACAAGAAAAGTCAGGCCCTGGGAGCCTCCAAACCCACTGACTTTATCCCTGGAAAAGATCGGATGTGTAAACGTTTGTTGCGTGAGTCAATAAATGAATAAAAACTCTAAAAAACTAATGGTATAGTCTCATTTTTATGTATTTAGATTGACTGTAACTGTTTCCCAACAAATCTCATTTTTTAAAAACATTAAGTATATTCTACATGTCCAGCCCAAAAGAGAAACACCGAGGTGCTATAAGGATCACATCAAGTTTGGAAACAATTAAGCAGATCCACTTTCCAGCAGTCCACGTGGAAGAACCAAATTCAGCCCTTCCTCCCTTACCGCGCCCGTCTCAAACTTCTGCTCCTTCCCCTCAAACCGCTCTTCGGCAACTCATACCAAAATCCCAAAGTCTTACCACAAAGCCGTGAGGTAACTGCTCCATCACTGCCTCATCCACGTGATGAACAGTGCGGCTGCTGCCAAGAACCAGGGAGGGGAAGAGCTGCTGCCACTGCAGGGTCCACAGGACGGACCGACGCGCTCCCACAGTGACTCACACGGCGCACGGGCAAGTGGAACCCACAAGAGAGAGTGTACACAGTATGCTGCTGTATCTGGTTTAAAAAGAAGTCAGCGCATACGTACGTAAACACATACATATCAACACACGCACATGCCTGCAGATTCAAAGACTGACTCTGGAAATAGATGCAGGAAGTATTCACAGGGGCAGCCTCTAAGGAAGGAAACTGATTTATAAGGGTACTTATCACTCTGTCACTTTCTAACTGCTGTGCATTTATTACAGCTTCATCCCTTAAAAATAGTTTTCATAAGGAAAAATAGAGCTATAAGGGACTTATTGAAGTACTATTTATAATAGTACAAAGTCTGAGCGATCAAAATACCTGACAAGAGGAACGATTAAATGCGTAATGGCTAACATTAAAAGCACGGGCTCTGGAGCCAGACCCTGACGTTTACATCCTGCCTGGACCACTTACGAGCGACGCGAGCTCGGGAGACACACTTCCATACACAGAGTCCCAGTGTCCTCACCTCCAAACAGAAACAGATGGATCCACTCCACAGATTGAAACAAAGCAAGAAAATTACTGAAACGAATTGAAACTTTCAGCAAAGTTGCAGGTACAAGATCAACATAAAAAATCAGTAACTAACAAAGAGAACTCTGCAAAGGAAATCAGGAAAATTATACCATTTATAATAACCACCCCAAAAGATAAAATACTTAAGAATCAATCTAACCAGAGACACAAAATACCTACACAAGAGAAACTATAAACCACTTCTACAAGAAACCAAGAGACCTACATAGGGAAGAATATGCCATGCTCATGGACAGAAAGACTTATTAACATTGTGACAATGTCAATACTACCCCTAAGCAATCCAACATCCTTGTTCTGGTTCCCTAGCGCTGCTCTGACAGGAATGTACCACAAATGGGATGCTTTAACGAATAGGACTTTATTCTCTTACAGTTTGGAGGCCTTAAGTCCAAGTTCAAAGTGCCAGGCTCTAGGGGCTGGGTGAAAGCCCCTCAACCTTGGGTCCAGCTCTGCCTCCTGCTCCCAGCCCACTGAGGCTAGAGGCTTTTCTTCACTCAGCTGCTAGCTGCTGAGGCTGGCAAGCCCAAGGTTGACAAGTAAAAAGGCACAGTCCCAATGTTACCAAACCACACAGCAGGCCATTAATTCAAGTCCACTGAAAGTCCCAAGGACGGCAGAGCATGGCAGGCTGCTGAACAATGACACGACTCCATGCAGGGTCCAAGCATACCATAAGCTAGAGACCATTCCCAAAGCTGTTTCTTATATATGGGAAGCAGACCACATGCTGAAAGTAGCTACTCAGCTGCTTGTGGTAGAGCCCACCATGGAGCTGACTGCCAGTCTCATCATGGGGAATAACTACCACCAGCCACCCAGCCACTCAACCAGGCCCAGCCAAGTTGACACACAAACTGCACCACCACAATCATTCTTTAAAGAAACAGAAAAAGTAATCACCAACTTTATATGAAAAGGAAAGATACTGGATTAGCAAAGCACTGCTAAAGTAACAGAGCAAAGGAGGAAGCCTCACACTCCCCGATCTCAAAACCTACTACACAGCCACGGCTGGTTTAAACGGTCTGGTACTGGGACAACGACAGACACACAGACCGGTGCAACAGAACTGAGCACCCACAAGTAAATGCATCCACCTGTGGATAGCTGATCTCTGACAAAGGGCCACAATTCATTAAATGAGGAAGGGGCAGTCTCTTTAATAAGTGGTGCTGGCAAAATCTATTTGCAGAAAAATGCAACAGGACCCATATATCACACCATACAAAAAACAAAATCAAGTTAGATCAAAGACCGGAATGTAAAAGCTAAAACTATAAAGACATCAAAGAAAAAATGGGGACAAACTCAGGGGTCCTAATACATGCCGCAAATACACTACTGGACATTACTGAAAGCACACAAACTCCAGGAGACAGAAGAGCCGACTGGGGCCTCCTAAACATCAGACACTTAGCACATCAAAAGATTTCACCAGAAGAAAAGAGAACTCACAGACAGGGAAAGACATCGTGGGAATGACATACTGGACAAGGGGCCAGTCTCTAAGATACATGGAAAGCTTCAACCTCCACAGCAAGAGAGAAATAATCCAACTAAAAATGGACAGAGGATATACGAACAGACACTTCACCAAAGAGGACACTCAGGCAGCCAACAAACACAGGAAGAAATGCTCCCGATCAGTAGCCATCAAAGAGATGCAAATCAAAACAATGAGCCATCATCTCACCCCAGCACTAATGGCAACGTTCAAAAACACAGAAAACAACGAACGCTGGTGAGGGTGTGGAGAGACTAGAACCCTCAAACCCTGCTGCTGGGGCTGTAAAAGGGCACAACCGCTGTGGAAAACAGCACGGCTCTTCCTTAAAAAGCTGGAAATAGAAACACCATGTGATCCAGCAGCCCCACTACTAGGCACATATCCTAGAGAAGTAAGAGCCGTGACACGAACAGATACATGCATGACCGTGTTCACTGCAGCGCCACAGACAACAGCAAAAAGATGGAAACAACGCAAGTGCCCATCAACGGATGACTGGATGGCGTAGTGTGCGACACACACACACACAGTGGAATAAAGGATGAATCTGCAAACCGCTCATAACGTGCAAGAACCTAGAGGCCGTTACGCCAAGTGAAACTAGCCAATCAGAAAAGGACGAACACTGTGTGAGACCACACTGAAAAGGTGAAGAAAACGCTTCCACAAAAAGAGGTATTATTTGATGGTTACCAGGGATGGGAAGGGAAGGGAGGGTAGAGCGATAACCAGAGGGTAGACTCACACTAACGTGGATAACCAGGTGGGCAACACACTGAGGAGGAGGTCAGCAGAAAACAATCAAGGAAAGGAGATGCTAGGAGGGGTACCAGAGTTAAAGGTAACAGAGGAAATACTAATCCACACACAGCTCTGCAGAGACAATTAACAACACTACACAATCTGTGACTGGATACACAGATAGACACGCAAGCTGAACCGGTGTGGGAAGGAGAATGGGACCATATCCACAAATACGCATAGACTGACAGAGGATATGTCCACATACGTATTTACATACGCTGCAAATACACCATGAATGCAGAGCACACAGGGGCAAAGTCTGAAAACTTCTCAGCCAAAACCAAAGACCCCGAGGGAGTGAGCCACTGGGCCTGGTGACTCAGGATCACAGTGTTGGGGACATCAAGATCAAATGGCACAACACAGTGCACAAAGACAACATTTACATCCTACTTTGGTAAGTGGTGACAGGGGTCTTAAAAGCTTGCAGGTGCCCATCTAACATACAACTCCCCATACAGAGGAAAGAAAATAAGACACATGGAAGCTATCAGCCCACAGGACCCTCCAGGACCCTGAGACGAGAAACTGGACAGTGCCTGGCTACCACCACCAACTGCTCTGAAAGGGATCACACTAGGTCTTGGATAGAATGGGAGAAAACTGGAACAAAACTCATCATTAAAAAAATTTTTTTAGGAGGCGGGGCAAGATGGTGGACTAGGCAGAAGGATTGCACAGACCCTCTTCAACAAAGAAAAGGAAAACCAATTAACACAGACACAGAAGATAATCTTGGACCCCTGAGCCTTGAAGGAAAGGATGCAGATTTGGACTAAACCCCAACTAGCAGAAGAATTT